GACGTTCGTTGTCTTCTCTTCGTCTCGAGCTGTGTACGGACACCTATAGGCATTTTTAGACGCCTACAATCATGCAGGCTGAAAAACTAGTTGTTACAGTGCCATCGGTCGACTGGTACTGTTTGTCAGTCGACTGATGAGCTGATCGCTGATAGCATGTCGATATGTGTAGACCATCCAAGGCTCACCGAAGTTTGAGGTTGTGTTCGTCAAGGAAGACGTACCAAATTTCTTTCATCTCTGATGCTGAGGAAAATAGTGTGCTCGGGCTTGAGAATCTGTTGTGTTGCTTTTTCGGGCTTGAGAATCTGTTGTGTTGCTTTCATGGATTTCAAAGTGAGAAAAGCAGGAAGAAGGACAAAACAAAGGTTAGATTAGAGAAATTGACGGGCTTGGGAATCTCCATTGAAGTGGACATAGGCTATATGGATCTATATGTGACCTTATATAATTCGCATCAAAATTGTTTATCGCAGCTAGGGGAGAAATTGTGGCTTAAGGAGAGAAGAGGTTGAAGTTGGCCCATATATAAGGCGTACATTAGTAATACGAGGAGTCCTCTACCTACTTGGTTTGAAGAGAATTTTCACAAAAGGAAGTGATCGTTTGGATTTATTTGAAGATTTATATTATAATTTATATACAGTAGCAATGGACATAGCCTTTGTTATGACATACTTCTTCTTATATTGTGATACCGATAATACTTGTTTCAGAATATTATGTACATGCACACCAAATTCTACGTGTTTACTTATGTACTTTTATTTTCAACAACTTTATGATTCCTTGGGATCTCAAGTAAACGTAACTGCAATAGGACTCCTCACAAAATACTTGCCAGAATCCCATAGCAATTGCCCTTCTGAAACTTTACCTGATTTTGGTGAAACTCCCTGAATACTCAATGTCACAGTAAAATCTTGTTTTTCACCTTCCTTATTGAATGTAAGGGTATTAGGGTCAACATCCACATCCACTCCCTCTGGATTATCAACCTTCACCGTGTAAACTGAGTTAGCATCACCAACATTTGTCACTGTTCGATTTACCATCTTCGATACCGATTTCGCCCCGAGATACACCGAAATGGAAGGATAGTTCAATTGCTCAGGTTCAATAGCTTGAACTTGAGAACAATTTACTGGACCACGAACAACTGCAGACACATTCACAAGTTTCATGCCACAAAGATACCGGATGTAATCATGTGGGTCGTTGTCATAGATCAGACCCGGATCGTTAGCTGCCACCGGATCCACATGACCCGATCCCATAGTGAAAACTCCAGCATTTTCACCTTCGTATTGATCTTTTATCGGATTACCATCTCGGTCTTTCGTGTAGGCTGTTGTCATGATGGCTGATTTAATTGCGGCGGGCGACCAATGTTGATGATTGTGCTTGAGGAGAGCTACGATCCCTGAAACATGAGGTGCAGCCATCGAAGTTCCACTCACCATGATGAACGTCTTATTCGTGCCTGTATGATTCGGACCCACTTCAGTTGGCCAAGCTGCGAGAATGTTTGAACCGGGTGCAATAACGTCTGGCTTTATGATGTTACCGTTAAAGAGGTTAGGCCCTCGATTCGAAAAGGAGGACACTACAGGAGCAGGGCGGTGTCCAAATTGTGTTCCGTTGAACTTTATCGCGGCAGTCGGATTTGATGTCTGGCTGAGATACTTCATAATTTCCTCTGCGTCGTCGTAGGTAACACGAGAAGCTGGATGGAGAAAAGCATCGGCGTCCGTTTGATTCCCCATCCACCACTGGCTCAGGATTATAACTGCGACGCCACCGGCCTTTTTAACGTGATCGCTGGCTTCCACATTCATCTTATAATCCTGTTTGGCTCCACACAGCACAATCTTACCTGTGACGTTGATCAATTTTGGAGAATTAACCTGGCATTTCTTC